GTCAGATAGGAGGGTCTCGTTGAGTCGCCAGGGGCTCCTGTGTTTAAAATCATAGGAGTCCTTGAGGATCAATTCCACAGGTGCGTGGTCTGACCACACGATCTGTCCTATCCTGCAGTCGACCACCTGTCCCAATGCTGTTCCTCCCATCAGCAACCCATCAATTCTTGAAAAGGTGTTATGGACTGGCGAGTGGTATGTATAGTCCCTGTCTTCTGTATGGGTAACCCTCCAAGTGTGATAGTAGTGGTGTAGAGCTTTCTAAAAGCTTTGTTATGGCTGAGCACTGGCGTTTAAGTGGTTTGTATCTAGGGCTGGTGTGTGAAAGTGTAGTGTCCAGAACAGGGTTCAGGACATGGTTCAGGTCCCCACATATTATAGTCGTGCCTTGTTGGATGCTTGAAACCTTTTGTATTATCTTGTGTAGAAAGTTCCTCTGGTGTGTGTTGGGTGCATATATATTCGCTATAGTATACAGTGTATTATTTATACGCCCTACCAGGATGACAAATCTGCCCTCCTGGTCTATTTCCTCCAAGATCAGTTCAAAGGCTACCTTCTGGCTTATGAGGGTAGAAACCACTTTAGACTTAGTGTGCAATGTGGAATGGTATTGGTGGGTGTAGGTAGCGGACAACATACGTGAGTGGTCTGTTCCTCTAAAGTGTGTCTCCTGGAGGCATACTATATCGGCATCGCTTTTTCGTATTTCTCTCCCTAGGAGGTGGCGCTGTACCGGGAGATTCAATCCCCTTATGTTATGGCTATAGATCCTTATGGTGGCATATATGGGAAGTATCTGTATAATATCAAATGTAATTGTTCTATGTGGAGGTACTGCCTTTCCCAGCTCGATCGAGCCAGGCAGTTTCCTCCCTGTGTGCTCCTCCAGAACAGATATGCGTATCTCGGGTATCACACCCCAGAAACCAGCTCCGGCGTGAGAGTTCCGCCTGGTGTGTTATAGTAGATGATGCTAGGTACTATTGGGCAACCCACCTGGCCCATGAGGGGGAAGGACAGGGAGGTATGTGCAGTCGTAGGGGAACAAAACACATAATAAACTGCAAAACTATAATCAAATAAACAAGTAAACATTGTTATAAGCGCCAAAAGTGTGTCTAGGCACCTATAAGAGGTGCCATGTGGGTCGGAACAGAAAGCTTCGATCCTGGTGGTTATGGCTACCGCAAGATCAGCCCTCGCTAACTATGGTAAGTACTTAAGTTGACCCAAATATGGTCAACATATGGAAACATTGACAAATTTCCAAATCTCGTGCTGTTTAGCCCTCTGGCCTAAAGGGTTGGGCCCCCGGGATAGTGTCTCGAGACTTTGTGCTCGCCTCTCTTCCACGCTTGGTGTAGAGACCCATCCCTTGTTTTAAATGTTGTGTGAGGGGCATTTATTTAGTTGTATATATGGGTATATAATATTTTAATATTTTTTTTTTTTTTTAATAAGCGGCCTCCTCGTAATTTTGTGTGGCTGGGGGCCCTGCATCACTCCATTAATGTTACGGTATTGTTATCGAGTTAAGCCATGGTTAAATGCCCAGTAAGGCTATTCCAAAGGCCTCTATCACTTCTCTCAAAGGGAAAGAGCATGCTATATTATGCTAGTTTACAGCTTTAAGTTATGCACAAATATTCAGAAACATTCTATTATACTTGTGAGTACAGGAAAGTCTTTGGTAGTTTGTGTTTCGTATCATGTCAGCTATTTGCGAGCCTTTTTCCATACAGGAGGCAGGCGTCCTGTGGCTGTAGTTTCTGGCTGGTACTCCGGTGGATTAAGTCCCCAGTCTTTCCGTTTTTTCAGACCGTCTTCATGTGTGCAGATGGCGTTGAGGGAGCCGTTTTCGGTTTTCGGTGGATAGCCCTTTCTATAAGCGATGTTATTGCTCCTGAGTAGATCAGTGATGGCGTTGAAGGTCTTCCTTTTCCTGAGTGTCATGGTGGTGATGTCAGCGAAGATTTTGGTCTTTTGGTAGTCTGCTGGTAGGTCCTTTTGCGTGCGGCTGGCTTTGATGATTGCCTCCTTTGCATGGTAATAGTGCATTTTAAGGACTATATCCCTAGAAAGGTCGGAAGGTAGGTATTGCAGCTTTGCCACTCTGTGGATACGGTCCATCAGCAGTACATCCTGGGGGAGGTCAGGGACTAAGAGGCGGAAGAGCCCGGTGGCATAAACATGCAGCTCTTGTGAGCCTATGTTCTCTGACACATTTCTTAGGCGCAGGTTGCTGCAGTGGGCTCTGTCCTCCATATCAGCCAATTTAGCTTCATATTCAGTGATCCTGTCCCATGCTTCCTCTACTTTGGCTGCAAGTCGGTTGCGGGATTCTGCTTGTGCCTCCATATTGGTTTCAAGCTCTGAGGTGCAGGATCCTAGTTTGTAGATGTCCACCCTTAAGTCTGTGAAAGATCCTCTCAAACATAGCCTGCAAGCTGTCTGCAGTAATTATGAGGCCTGGGGATTCTGGGTTACCCGCCTGTTCGACGTCGGTGTCGGCGCCATCTTGGGACTCCTCTGTCTGCTGGGCTCCTTTTGCGTGCCCCTGTTTGGTGCTGAAGAAATGTAGCTTGTCCTATTTTTCGGACGCTTTTTGCCCTTGTGATGAGACATGATCTATGGGGTCTCTCAGTCGTCGCTTATCCTGTGATCTGAGTCTTTGTAACCGTGTGAGGGCCTAATCGTCGCGGAGCTAGCCGAGCATGCGACCGCTCGCATTCTGTTCCAGGCCACACCCCCCGACCAAACTGATTTTATTTGTTAGATCTCTGTAGAACTGACTAATTTACTGCTGAGAACATTCTTTAATACCATGTGTCTTTCAGGCCTCCCCCCCTTTTTTTCTCTCTCTCAAAGCCGTTAACTCTGATGTGTTATTAGGAATTGTGTTTTAGTGGTATAATTTTTAACTCTACTTGTTTACTGTTTTTTCAACGGCTAACACGGTACTCTTTTAACTATTTTACTCAAGAGCTCACTGCTGCACAGCTGGCTCTTCTGTATCTGCAGCACCAAGTCTGGGGACAGCCTCTGAAATGAGCCCATCTTTGAGCCGAGTCTGCCACTCACTGAATCCCACAATGGACTGCCACATTTTTCTTGTCATTGCTGCCTTGCAATCATAGCAGAGCCAGATTAAGAGCCCAGTGGGCCTGGTGCTGACAATTATGATGGGGCCTAATTACAGAATCTTATCTACCAAAAACACTAAAACAACCATACCTCCCATGCTTCATGTATCTGATGGAGATGGTGTTGGAGGGAAACTCTAAGGATGCAGCTATACGAAAACACATACTGTATGCTAATCTCCCTCTAATTTATGCTTTCATCTTTCAAGTAAATCCATACCCCCTAACAGCAGTGTCCAGTGAAGCAGGAAGTCAATGGGCAGGGTAAAATGGTGGGCCACTGACCCGAATCACATGACCAGAACTGCCAAAAGGGGCACTTGTGGATACAGACATGGGGACACTGGGACATATGGGGACACTGAGACATTTGGGGACAATGGGAGAAATGGGGTCACAGACACTAGGGACACAGATACATGGGGATACAGACACTGGGAGACATGGGGACACAGACATTTGGTGAAACTAAGACACTAGGGACACTGAGAGATATGGGAACACAGACAATGGGAGACTAGGGGACACTGGGAGACATGGGGACACAGACACGAGGGAATGGCTGGGAGGCATAGGGACACTGGGAGACATGGGGACACTAGGGACACAGAGACATAGGGACACAGACACTGGGAGACATGGGGACACTGAGACACTAGGGACACTGGCTGAGAGACATAGGGACACTAGGAGACATGGGGACACTGAGACACTAGCTGGGAGACATGTGGACACTGGGAGACATGGGGATACAGACAGTTGGGGACACTGAGACATGGGGACACTTAGAGACATGGGGGACACAGACACCGGGAAACTAGGGGACACTGGGAGCCATGGGTACACTAGGGACACTGGCTGGGAGACATGGGGACACTGTGTCCCTAGTGTTTCTGTGTCCCAATGTGTCTCAATATGTCTCATAGAATCCTCATGTGTCTCAGCATACCCATGTCTCACAGTGTCCCTTAGTGTCTCATTGTCCCCATGTTTCCCAGTGTCCACAAGTGTTTCAGTGACCCACGTCTCCCAGTGTCCCCTAGTGTCTCAGTATCCCCATGTCTCCCTGCTGCCTTTCCCCCCATCCCTCACTTACCTGAACTGTA